CATTTATTTATTTATTTATTTACGAATTACGTTTTTCATTATTACTTTTATTATTATTATTATTATTATTATTATTATTATTATTATCATTATTTATTATTATTATTATTATTATTACTACTACTAATATTAAATTTATATGATAATGATAATAAAGTATTGAAAAAAAAAAAAAAAATTCGGGATGTACATAAACGTAAAATGAAAGAGAATGATAACAAAACTGAGTTTTTTTTTTGGGGGGGAGGGGGAAGGGGTCCTGATAATAATTAATCGATACAAAAAGTAATAATAATGATGATGATGTGGTTTGAGAGATTAAGAACAAAACAGATGGCAGAGGAAAAACAGGAAAACGAACAAACAAGTCATTTCCGGTATCAGACGGGAGTTTATATAAATCATTTTGTCATTGATTGTTGTTGTTTGGTTGGTTGTTTGTGGGTGACGTTTGGAAAAAATTTCAAGGTTTTCGTCTGATTTCGAATAACTATTATTATTATCGTGGTCGTCGCCGACACTTAATTGTACGAGTGTTGTGTTTTTCTTCTTCTTCTTCCACGTTGATTCGTATTCCCTTTTTTTTTTTTTTACAACTTGGATTTAAAAACAAAAAAAATTTGTCGAAATTGATTCTGCGAAATTTTTTTTTTCCGTTTATTATTATTATTATCGTCGTCGTCGTGATTGTGGTTGTTGTGGTGGTTGTTATCGTAGTTTCATTTATCGCTGAAGAAACCTCCTAAATAAGGTTTCACATGCATTTTTTTTTGTAGAAAAAAAAATTTGAATGTGAAGCAATGACAAAAAAAAGGAAGGAAGGAAGGAAAAAAAAGGAAAAAAAGGGGGAGGGCGGTGGGGGGTGGGGTAGTGGAGGGGGTTAACAAAAAAATTTCTATTTCATTTGGAACCTTAGAGAATATAATGGGAACAAAAAAGAAAATGTTCGCATGGGAAATAAAAAAGAAATAAATAAAACGCTTCCCCCCCCCCTCCTCCTCCTCCTTCTTCTTCGAAGAGAGAAGAATAAAAAAAAGGAAAAAAATCTTTTTCAATTTTCCATTGAGCAAAATGATTTGTGATGTTTTTTTTTTTTTTTCTCTCGCGAATTCGATCTAAATTTTTCAGCCGGACTCCATTTTCCTTACTATTGGGTGACTCGACCTTTAAGGCATAACCGTTTAAATTGTTTTTTTTTTTTTCGACTCGACTTTTTTCAAAAAGGCAATTTTTTTATATCGAACGGGGGGGAGTTGGGGGGGGGGCGAATGGGGATGGAGGTGAGGGGATGGGAAAAGAAAATAATAATGATGATAATCATCGTCAGCATCGTGTTTATAAATGGTTTGTTCCTCCTCCCTATGTGATTTTCGACGTGGCAATTTTTTTTTTTTTTTGTGTAAAGTTTCGAAAACAATTGGCGTGGCAGAAGAATAATTGCATCGTTTTTTTTACTCGTGAGACTAAATTATTTAAAAATCTCACGTGATGATTTTCATCTACGCCATTTTTTTTTTTTTTAAACTAATAACAAAGAATTGTTGTAGTTCGAGTATCGCTTCGTGTTTTCCGACGAGTGTTAGTCGGTGTGATTGTTGTAGGATTTGATCACGTGTTTATGTGACCACGTGATTTTATCAAAACGTTTAAGATGTTTTGTGCAACAATTACTTTCGTTTTGATTTTTTATTTTTCCTGATTTCGTAGTAGAGCTCGCTCGTTGTCGTTTGTTTCCGTGTGGTTTTCCGTCGGCTGCTATTTCCGCTCTTCTTTGTGTTACCGGAAGTGTACGAGAGGAAAAGGTGTCGTCAATTACATTAACATTTTGGTTTTTCATTGTCGGTTTTCAGGATTTACGTTTGTTTGTTTAATCTTGCGTTCCAGTATTTTTCTTTTTCTTTTTCTTCTTCCACTTTTTTTTTTTTTTACATTTAAAATATTATTAATAATTAAAATTTTTTTTTTTTTAAATGAAATTTATGATATTTTATTGAGAATAATATTAAAATATATATAATGAAAAGGAAAATTAAATTAGAGGGGGGAGAGAGGGGAGGTGGGGGCGGGGGCAGGAGAGCACTCGAAATCTTTGATATAAAGCCAAAAATTTCAGAAAAATTTCTTCTCTCTCTTTTTCTCTTTCTCTCTCTGGAAATTTTCCAAACAAAAAATAAAATAAAATAAAATAAAAAGAGAAAAAAAAGTTAATATTTTTTGACGAAGTAATAATAATAATAATAATAATAATAATAATTAAAATAATAATTTTAAAAATAAAAAAAATTAAATTTTAATCAAGTAAATAATTTATTAAAAAGAAAAAAATTAATTAATTTTTTTTTCTTTTTTTTTGTTTTGCTTTGCTTTGCTTATTAAATTTTCCTTTCGGCGCGGTATCAGACAATTTTGAAAAAAATAAAATAAAATAAAATAAAATAATATGACCGTCGGGTAAAAATTTACGAGACCCGAAATGCGGGAAAAATAAATATTATTTAATTTTTTTTTTTTTTAACACCTGAACGTGAAAGTTATTATTATTATTATTAATTTATTAAAAAATAATTTTTAATTTATTTTATTTTATTTCACATTTTGTCGATTTGTTTTTTTTTTTTTGCGTGGAGTTAAATTGGCCGACGGCGAAAATTCTGTACGAATTTCCTTCCTCCTCCTTCTCCTCCCATTTCTTCCCTTTTTTTTCTTCTTCTTCCTCTTCTTCTGCTACTAAGAAAATCTTTTTCACCTTTTTTTTTTGCTTTCTTTTGTTTCACTTCGTAAATTATTATATTTATATATATATATATATATATATATATATATATATATATTTATTTGTAACAATAATTCATATCCAAATGGATTAAACCGCCATCTTTTTCGTGGCAGCAGAAGAAAAAAAACATTTTTTACCTTTTTTCATTTCTACGAATTATATTGATTTATTGTTTGTTTCTGTTTTAATAAGGTTTAGTTAATCTCTCTCTCTTTCTGTCTCTCTTTCTTTCTCTCTTTCTCATTTTTTTTCTTCTTCTCTTTCTTTCATTTTCTTTCTTCTTCTCTTTCTTTCATTTTCTTTCTTCTTCTCTTTCTTTCATTTTCTTTCTTCTTCTCTTTCTTTCATTTTCTTTATTATTCTTCTCTCTCTCTCTCTCTCTCTCTCTCTCTCTTTGTCTCACTCTCTCTCTCTCTCTCACTCTCTTTCTCTTCCCATTTTTCTTTTCTTTTTTTTCTTTCACTTACTATTATTATTTTTCTTTTACTTCATTTTTACTTTTACTATTATTCTTTGTTTTTTTTTTCATTTCGTTTTCTTTTCCCTCACCTAACTTTCCCCCTCTCCATCTCTCCCACCTCCCTCCCCTCCGCGAAAATCAAAATGAATGAGTAGTTATGAATTATCAAAAGGAAAAAAAGAAAAAAAAAAACTAAATTTAATGAAAACTTTTTCAATTTAAAAATTTTTCGGTTTTTTTTTCTTTTTCAGTGTTTTTTCCAAATTTAAGAGTTTTCCTTCACTTCTTTTCTTTTCTTTTCTTTTACTATCATTATCATCATTTTTTATTATTATGTTATTATTATTATTATCATCATTTTTTTTTATTTTGCTCGGCACGAAGTTTAAAATTTTTTTTTATTTGTTTTTTTTTTATATTTTTCTCCCTCTTATTATTATTATTATTATTATTATTAATTGAAAAAAATTTTTTTCTCTTTATCGCGGTTGCGATTTGTTGTTCGATTGTTTTTCTTTTGTTTGTTTGTTTGTTTGTTTGTTTTGAATTGAAAATTTTGAATGAAAGAAGAAAAAAAAATAAATAAAAAGAAAAATTTGAAATTCGTTTCGTTTTTTTTCGAATTTGACGCGATTTAAATCGGAAATGAAAATACCGTTACGATTTTTGTTTTTATAAAGGAAAAGCGGAAGAAAGGAGGGGAAAGGGGGCGGGGGAAAACGGAAGTGAGAAGAAACACGTTCGAAAAGAAAAGAAAGGAAAAGAAAGGAAGGAAGGAAGGAAGGAAGGAAGACGTTCGGGATACATTTTAGTCGTTGCGTTACTCAAAAAAAAACATGTGACGTCATTGTCGTTTTCGAGAGAGAGAGAGAGAGAGAGAGAGAGAGAGACAAATTAACTCGTTTTGTAAAAACGCGTGACAATAAAAAAAAATTTTTTTCGATTCGATTGTCGTGTAAATAGACGACATAAATGAAAACAAAAATTTTTTTTTTTTATCTTCTGCAATTGTCACTCCCGGAAACGAAATTGTTTCGTTTTTTTTTTTTTTTTTTCGAAGGTTATGTAATAACGTTTTATTGAAGATTTTTTTTTTCCTGCTAGGATAACAAAAAAAGGAAAAAAAAGGAAAAAAGGAAAAAAAATGGAAAAAAAGGAAATGTTATGTTATGTTTTTATGATGATTTTTTTTTGTGCTGATGATGCTGTATTCCCTTCAACAGCATCTGTTGAAATTTTTTTTTTTTTTCGGGACTGAGATTTTAAATATTTTTCATTTCAATAATAATAATAATAATAAGGATTTTTCTGTTTCGATTTTAAAAACGTTCGTAGTAAGAAAAAAATTCTTTTTTTTCCAGTTTCAGTTTTCTCCAGTTCCAGTTTTGGAAAAAAATTTTTTTTGTATTTTTATTTTTAATTTAAGTCATCAATCTTAGTCGCCCATAAATTTTTTGGTTTGCCTTTTTTTTATTTTTTATTTTTTCTCTCGGAATGGGTTAACGTTAAGAAGTTTCTGGAAAAAAAAACGAAAAAGTCGAACCGACTTGGAATTTCCTGGAAAAAGAGAAAGAGAGACGGAGAGGGAGACAGAGAGAGAAAGAGAAAGAAATAATAATTCACGTTTGATTTTTTTTTCTTTTTTTTTCCTTTTTTTTCGATTTCATTTTTCTTACGCGCGATAGAAAAATATTATTATTATTATTATTATTTTATAAACGTTGGGATGAGATTTGTGATAAGATTTGATAAGGGAAAATGAAAATGATAAGAGAAAAGTCAAGCGATAAGAGCCAATTATTTAAAAGAAGAAAAAAAATGCATGAAAAAAAAAAATTTCGAAATATTTTTCTTTTTTCTTTTTTTCCCTCACTGATGACGTCACTTCCGCACCAAATGAAAAAAAAAGAAAAAAGGAATCTCTTTTCCCGCTTTTGAGTAAAAAAAAATTTTTTTCCATTGAATTTATTCCTTTGATTAAAAAAAAAAAAAAAAAAAAATTCAATTTTTATTTAAAAGAAAACAAGAAACTCGCGGGCTTTTTTCCCCCCATTTTTAATTGAAACCGGAAATTGTAAAAGCGTAACGGAAATTAATAATAATAATTATTAATATTAATTATTATTAAAAAAAATAATATGTTGTTTTTATTTCCAGGTTGTCAAGTACCTGAAGACGTTTAATGTGAGCAACGTTGAAAGACTGAAAACAATTAATTACACGTGAGTTACGCGATATTATTTACTTTATTATTATTATCATCATCGTAATTATTTCCTTTTACGTTTTCCATTATCCGTCTCTTTCTATAATGAGACTTGATAAGAGTTTTATTATTAACAATTATTATTATTATTATTACTTTTTGTTTTTTTTTGCGCATTTTGTTCCAGGTCGGGAGTGGATGCGACTTTTCATTTTTTCGCATCGAAAAAAGACGAAAATGAAATTAGAGGAGCTTTGAAAAAGTTCAAAGAAAAAGAAGAAAATATTTTGGGTATAAAAAGTTTGACTCTACGACAGGATTCGTCGCTTTTCATCGAGGTTTGCGTCTTTTATCGCTGCGCCGCCATTTTGTTTTTTTTTTTTATGTGTTTTCGTTTGTATTATTACATACGGCACGGGAGAGGAAGAGAGAGGGTTGTTACAGCGATACCGCCAAAAAAAAAAAAAACAAACAATCGTGATCGGATAAGAGATTTTATTATTGTCCCGCCCCCACCGCCCTCCCTAACCTCCCCAATCGAATAAGACTCATCATTATTATTATCATGGAAACGCGAAACGGAATTCGATCGAAAAATATTTCCCTCTCTTCCCCTCTCATCCCGAGAAATTTTTCAAGGTTGAATTAATTCGACAAATTAAAAATTTAAATTTTTTCCTCCTCTTATTCCCTGACCTGCCCCTCCCCATTTTAAGATGGCGACGTAAAAGAAGCAGACGAAAAAAAATGTAAAAAAATTTCGTCTGACCGACGGTCGCGGTATTCGGACAATTTAATGGAAAAAAAAAATTCCAGGAAAAGTTTTTACGAAAAAAAAAAATATGTTTGTTCTTTGTTTGTTGTTTGAATGACGTCGTCGTCGTTGTCGTCATCGTCGAAAGAGAGAGAGAGAGAGAGAGAGAGAGAATTATTTTTTTTTTCGGTTGTTTTTTCACGTCGCTTTAATATTCGAATAAAATAATAATAATAATATTGCGACGTTTTTCTTAAACCTCCTGTTTTCATACCCGTCACATCGTCTCCTTAATATTTTATTTTATTTTTTTTTTTTAGAAAAGAATTAAGATTGTAAATCACTTTTCTCCCCCCCCCCACCCAGACAAGGTTTATATACCTTTATTCAGGTACGCGAACACGTACGCGAAAGTACTGAGATAGTAAATCAATCAATTAAACGCGAAACGTTTTTCTCTTCCGTGCCACAGAGCCACGTCGTCATTAATTTATTATAACCTCTGACACGACACAAAAAATTTCATCCCGTGACGTGTGTGTGCGCACGTCCCTCCCTACTCCTCCTCCTCTCCCCGCACTCCGGAAAAAAAAGAAAATTTAATTTTTGTCAATTTTTTTTTTCAGAGCGTGTCAATATCAAAAAAATCGATTCGCGTCGGCCAGGGATTTTCAATATCATGCATTGCTCAGGGTTCCATTTACATGACGTTCACATGGTTAAAAGATGGAGCCTTCATAAACGAATCTGTGATAACGCGATCCGTTTCCATGCATTTGATTTACTTGTCGAGAGGAAGGTATCAATACACGCTCGTCATGGATAAAGCGAATTTACTCGATGAGGGTATATACACGTGTCACGTGAGCGATTGGCACGTTCAACAATGCAAGGGTATACACGTGAACGTTGCCGGACCGCCGGAAATACGTTTGTCACCCATGAGCGCGACCGTGGAAAAGGTAAAAAAAAATAATAATTTCTCACTCGGAGGACGTGTGGTGTGTGGTTGGGGTGGGGGGAGAGGGGGGAAGGGAGGGGAAGAGAGAATGAGAGAATGAGAGAGAGAGAGAGAAAGAGAAAAGAGAAAATAATTTTTTTTTTTCCGTCGATTTGTTGATTTTCAGGGAGCTAATTTGGACATTGTTTGCATACCACTCAACAACCGGCCCAAATTGGAAAAATTCGGTTATTCATGGATAAAGAACAAACACTTGTTGAAAATGATGCCCGGAAGAGAAGTTTGGGAAGATTTGTATTTGAGTCATTACAACGGTGAAATAAACACCGGAAGCGTTTTGGAAATAACAAATATTCAGGTAACGAGTGCGTGGGTGTGTGTGTGTGGGTGCTTGGTAGTAAAAAAGGTGGAAAGCAGAAACCACCTTGACTGACGTATGGTGTGTGGGTGCTTGGTAGTAAAAAAGGTGGAAAGCAGAAACCACCTTGACTGACGTATGGTGTGTGGGAAAGTACACAATGTGTAAAATTACAGAAATCTGCGACGTACACGTGTCAAGCACAGGGTACGGGTGCTTCGAGCGAATTGAGCGTGCACGTCGAAGTCGTTAACAAAACTGTGGTTCCCCTTTGTCCGGCGGAAGGAAAATACGGTATAGCTTGGCAAACGACGGCGCCCGGCATGGAAACCGTTGCCGATTGTCCTTTTCACGCGGGGGGACACGCCAAAAGAGAGTGCAGGCTAACGGATTACAACACGACGGAATGGGACGTACCAAATTTTACAGGGTGTCTGACCTCTGACGTAGAGGCCGTTTACAATAATGTAATTTTACATTTTTTCAATTTCCCCCGTTTTTTCCACCCCTTCCCACTTCGCCCCACCCCCTGCCTCCCTCTTTCCCTCTCCTCTCCTCCCATCCCCGTCATCACCATTTTTATTCGTCGTTTTTTTTCTTTTCTTTTTCCAGTTTAAAAGGCTGACGTTGGGTTACGAGGTGACGAACGGTTCTTCCACGCTAGGGAATTTACTTTACATCGTTTCGAAACGTTCAACATACCTTCCTGGAGAATGCGAACGTATATTAGACATATTAGACGAAGTTTTGAAATATTTAAATTCATCTCTCCTATTCAAAGATCTTGAAAATTCATCCGGAACCTTTTACAGCATCATCAATTTGCTCATGACTCACGAGCGATGTTTCATAACGGAAAAGGTTTGTTTATTAGTAAATTATTTATTTTTCCATCGTTCGTTTGTTCCTTCGTTTGTCCGCCGTTTGTTTGTTTGTTTCTTCTCCCCGAAAAAAGGTTTTTTTTTTTTTTAACGTAATTGAATTTTCACAGAAAATAATTCAACTTCAAGCTTTGATAAAATCCATAGGAATCATTTGGGGATCCCTTTTTACCGGGAGTTCTCAGTCGGTTTTCCAAGACATGACGTCATTAATAATCAACATAAATAAAATCCCGGCGATGGAAAATGGGGCGATCCGTTACGTCAAATTTCCACCGGATGATAAAATTCGTCCTTTCTGGTTCAAGGACAAAATTCTCGTACGTTTAAACGCGTACAAAATGGACAACAACAACAACAACAACAACGTGTCCTCCCCGTACTCCCCGCGTAATTTTTCCGTATTGATCGCCGCGTATAAAAACATGACGCAATTTTTAAAAGCTCGATATCTAACGAAATTCGAGTAAGTATTTATTTTTCTTTCTCATATTCCTGACTACGCTCCTGCTCACTTTCCTCCTCCTTAAAAAAGATGAAAACCTTTCATTAAACCTTTTTTAAAACATACGACGAGAACAATTTCAATTTTTTCTTTTTTTGTTTAATAAAATAAATTTGTAACCGTTTTTTGTTTTCCGACGGGGGTGGGGAAGGGGTGGATTAAAGGAAAGAGAAAAAAGAATCGGGGAGTGAAAAGGGGGTGGTGGAGGAAGGGGGGCGAGGTTAAAATAAAAAAATTTATTCTTACACAAAAATTTTAAGAGGCCCTTAAGCATAATTTTTTATTTCTATTATTATTATTATTATTATTATTATTATTATTATTATTATTATTATTATTATTATTATTATTATTATTATTATTTCCCTCCCTCCCTTCCCCTTCCCCCCGTTCATTATTTTTTTGTATTTTTTAAACAATTACAAAAGAATTTTATCCTCGGAGCATTTTCGCCAACCGTAAAAATAATAATAATAATAATAGTAATAATAATAATAATAATAATAATAATAATAATAATCTCCTTCCATTAACTTTCATTTCATTTTTTTTTCCTGTTGACATTTCCACTTGTGCCTGTCTGCCTACCTACCTATACCGGAAGGCTTTTCCTTATTTCCGGTTTTTCTTTTTACTTTTTTTTTCTCTCTGGCTAATTGTGCTTTAATTATGTTTTCGCTTTTCAATTTTATAAGTAAAATGTTTTTTTCCATTTTTTTTTTCCTCGTCATCCGTTCGTTCCAGCAGGAAAAGGAGGTGGAGGAGGAGAAAAAAATTTTTTTCTTTCTTTTAGTATTTTCCATTTTCTTTTTCTACGTGTTTTTTATTTCGTCCGCAAAACGACTCTTGATTTTTCTATTTTATTCGTTCGACGGATAAAATCGTTTTTTTTTTTTATCAAATGACGTCATAAAGCACAACTGTAAGAGAGAGAGAGAGAGAGAGAGAGAGAGAGAAATGATAGACTCCAGTTTTTGACTGGAAAAAAATTTTAGAAAAAAAAAATGAATAACGAATAAAAAATTTTTTTTCTTTTCAAATCGAATCGAAAGCGACGGAACGGATCAAGAATACGAAATCAATTCAAAATTAATCACAATCGTTTTTGGACGTGGCAGAAGAAAAAAAACGAAAGATGAAATATTTGAAAATGATAATAATAATAATAATTTTATTGCGGAAATCGATTTCAATCATTTGAGAAACGATTACGATTTCGATGAATGGTCGATCACGTGCGGCGTGACGGAATATGCGAGCTTTAGGAGTACCTGGAACCTGAATTCGTGCACGAGTCAACCCGTGAATTCAAACGTGACGAAATGCATTTGTAAAAAAACTGGAACTTTTGCTCTGTTGGTCGTGACGAAAAATCAAATCGTGAGTTTTTCGCGAGGGAAAATGGGGAAAAAAGGGAAAATAATTTAAAATTTTTTTTTCTTTTTGTTTTTCCAGGTGACGTCATCGTCGCCCGTCGCAAAAGACGGTGAAAATTTGATTGTTTTGATCGGTTGCGGTTGTTGTCTCGTACAATCTCTGTTGACACTTTGTTTACTTTTGCCTTATTGGTGTCGTCGTAAAACGTGTTTGGTTTTTTTAAAAATGCAATGTTGTCTCGCAACCGCTTGCGCCATGACCGTTTTCATGTATTCCATACGTAACACTTTATCTAAGGTGAGTAAGTAAGAAACGTTTCGCCGCCATTTTGTTTTTTTTTTTTTTTTTAAGCAATAAATAACAAAACAAAACAAAAAAAAAAGTTGAAAATTATTGCAACGCGTTAACAACAACAAAAAAAAAGATAATTTTAAATTAAGTTTTTTTTTTTTTTTTAAAAAAAAAAAAGAAAAAATTTATTTTTATTGCTTATTAGACAACAAAACAAAAACAAACAAACAAACAAAAGGAAGAGAAAAAAAACAAGAGAAGAAACAACAGCAAACAACAAACAACAACGGAAAAAAAATAAATAAATGAATGTAAATCTTTTTAATTAAATTATTTTTTCTAGAGTGATAGTAAGAGAGAATGAATGAATGAATGAATGAATGAATGAATGAATGAGAGATTGAATTCTTTCGCCGTGACGTTTAATTCCCTACAAAAAAAAAATCGGCGCTAAAAAAGGGCGAAAAAGGGCCAAAGGAAAAAATTTTATTGGGTAATCGCCGGAGTGTATAAAAGAAAAATTTTACCCAAAAGTATAATCAATTTTTTTTTTTTTTTTGTTAAACCTGCGAGAAAACTTTTTTTTTGGGGAGGGCGGGGATAGGGGAGGGTTGACCCTACCCCCCCTTTTTTTTTTAAATACTTTCTGAACTTTTTTTTTTTTTTAAATTTTCAAGTGAAATAAAAGAAAATAAAAAGTTCAATCGTTTTAACAAATTGTAATTAAAATTAATTAAGTCGTCAAATAATAATAATAATAATAAAAATTCGGAAAAGCGTTACGAATCCGAACGGAAATGGTTTTCTTAAAAGTAAAAGATTAATGACGTCATTAGCCGTAACAATTATTTTTTTTTTTATTTCCAGGCTGTTTTTCCATTGGTGACGACATTTTTAGAAATTTTTTTATTAATCGGTCTTTCGTCTCACCTGAGTAAAATTTTAGTTGTTTATACGGAAATAATACAATTTCCACATGGGAGACACATGAAAGAAACCGTCATATGCATAATTACAGGTAAGTGGCGGGGGTGGGTGTGACGTCATCGAAGAGTATTTGTAATTTTTTTCCTGTTTCGCAGGGGTTCCCATATTGGCAGTTTTGTGTAATTTTCTCGGGTATCATTCGACGGGTTGGAATCTTCATTCCTGGTGGATAATTCGAGGTTCCATGATATTCAACGTTTTCATGACGTCGGCTGCTTTGTTGATCGTCCTTTTTGTTTTTTTATACATCAGCATTTTACGTCAACTCAACGTCATCTCGCAAAGATGTGCCAATAAAAACAAAACGATATTTCGAAGGTAAGCAAATCGAACCACACACACACACACACACATATTATTCGGCGGGGGTAGAGGGGCGGGAAACGGGGGTGTGGCGGTTAAAAGGGGAGGGAAAGAGGGGAGGAGAAGGAAAAATGAAAAATTTTTTTAAAATCGTTTATAATTAAATTACAAATGTACGTAAATGTATATATATAAACATCGACGTAGAATTTTTTTTTTTTTTTTATAATTTAATGTAATTTTTTTTCATCGTGATAAAATCGTCTGCTTTTATTTATTTATTTATTTATATATATATATATTTTCTAATCTCGTTAACTTTATTTACGTATAGTAAAATAAAAAAAACCGATGGCATAAATGTTTTTTTTTTTTTTTTTAATAAAAATAATTAATTTAAATTATTTAAAAAACAATAAAAAAAAAGGGTAAAATGAAAATCTTTTCTCGTTTGTATAAAATAAAATAAAATTTAATTATCTAAACCGTGCATACGTATACACACACGCGCACACACACACTCACACCGTATATATAATTATGTATAAAAATATTAAAACGTAGGTAATGTTAAGCAAACATTAAGAGAGAGAGAGAGAAAGAGATAGATGTCGGGGGGGGGAAAAAAAGCGAGAAATCGAGAGGTGGAAACGAGGGGCAAAGGAACAACCAAAAGGGCGAGATAGAGAGAGGGGGTGGGGGTGGGAGGAAAAGAAAGAAATTAATTTTTCGTTTGAGTGAGTGATTATTTCAAAGGAGGAAAGAAAATGTAATTAATATAAATTTACATATTCAATTTTATTAAATTGAAATAAATAAATAAATGATGAAATTGCCAACGTCGTCGTCGTCGTCGTTTTTTTTTCGGCATGAAATGTGCGACTGACGTAGTCGTCGTCACCGACGCCGACGCCGCCACAACCGTCACAACCGCCACCTTTTTCCTCCGACGAAAAGTTTTTTTAATTTATTTATTTTTGAAAAATTTTTTTTTTTTTTTTTTTTTAATTGAAAATTTAATAATTTTCTTTTCGTGACGTTCGAGCCCCTTCCCACTTGCTCCCCTTTCTCCTCCCCCCATCCTCCACCTCTCCCGAATAATTATTTTTTATCCCTTTGCCCTTTTTTCTTATTTATTTATTCATTCATTCATTCATTCATTCATTTTTGTTTGCTTTATTTATTTACTTTCGAAAAGTTACCGGAAATTTTCGAATCGACTCAATTCATATGCACTCGTGTAGGACAAAAAGCATAATTTATAATTTTGAAGGCGAAGCTTTAAAATAACCTTTTTTTTTATTTTAATTGTTTGTTGTTTAATTTGTTTGTTTGTTTGTATGTTTGTTTTTCTTTTTTTTTTTTTTTAGAATCGGATTGCTCAAACGTGGGGGAATAATTTTTTTAACTATGATCATTATGGAATCTGCGAGTATTTTTTACATAAACGTTTTAGACGTTTCGTCACAATATTTTTTCAGTTCTTCAAGTGCCTTATTGGTAAGTCTCTACCGTCGCTTTGCTTTTTTTTCCATATTCATTATAACATGTTATTTAAATTTTTAAATTTTTCTTTTTCCCGCCAAGGGTTTTGTGATAATGTTTTGTTACATATTAAGAAGCGAATGTTCGTTTCGCGATAAATTGGTTAAAAGTTTGAAAAAAACGAAATCACAATCCCAGGATGATGATTTCAGTTCGGAATCCATAATCAGTCCTTTGAGATGTAAGTTTATTTATTTATTTTTTATTTTTTTTTTTTGGGGGGGGTTTATCGAACCTGTAATCCGGAAAATAAGTTTTATGCGAATTTTTTTTTTATTACAGTTTTCACAAAACACGGAGAAGAAACGGAAAGCGAAGGAGCTCCTCCGTTCGTTAAAAATTTTCAAGGAAGGGGTTGCGAACTCGTTGGAAAACCTCAACCCCCATCATTAAATCGTATACAACAATTTAGTTTTAAAGAGGGAAGAATTAAATTATCAGAAGAGGGAGGTACGAGCACACTGGAAACATTCATCAGCAGTGCCGACGGATCGATAGACGACAGGATGCAAGAAACTCTCATGACAAACGGTCATCTGACGATACGCGAACCCCCGCTGTCTTCATTCAATTCTCAAAATCGAATCGATGAAAAACTCATAGAACAAGATGAATCTTTGCTCGAAGACGAACCCTGGGGGTATCCCAAATCGAACGGTACCATTCCCAAACCGGATGTCGCGCAATGTTACATAAGGGAAACTCCGGTGACTTCGCAAGAAATCATAACGACAAGAGTTTGCGTCGAGTTGGGAGTTATAACGACTCATCAAAAAAACGAAACGACCGGTCAAGATGTCGCCACACCAGCCATCGTTTTATGCAGCGTCGACGTCGAACCCTGTCAAAGTCGAGTTTTGGAAATGCCGGAAGTTGTCAACGATTCTTTATGCTGCACTGGAAGTACCGGAAGTTTTGTTTTGGGTAAGCATGGAAAATGCGAAATAAAAATAAATATATATATATTTTCAACTTAAAACTCATAATCTTTTTTCTTTCAACCCAAGGTGTGACGGGTCAAGACGTTGAAAATTCAGTTTGCAGCACTGCTCAATCCAAACAAATAAGTCCAGAAGAAAGCAAAACGGAAGACTGCAGCAACAGCGAAAGAACGGATAGTTCATCATTACCCGAACTCGAAAACGAAAGAAAACAACCGGACGGAATCGAACAACGAAAAGTCAAAAAACACGACGACGACGACGATGATGATGATAACATGGAAGGAATGTTGGACAGAATATCGCACGATCTCGATTACTTGCTCAATAGAAAACCAAATTCGGGTCCGAGAAAAGCGAGCAAACCACCCAGCGACAGCGTTGACAAAAGAATCCTGGAAGAAGATGAAAAAGAATTACAAACAACAGGATTACTGGAATATTAATTTCTTCATGATGATGATGAAGGATCAACACGCTCACGAGGATTCATCCTTCTTTTTGTTCCTTACTGTGTTCTAACAATCGCGTAAATGTTATGTTCCTTTCTCTCTTCCCCATTTCTCCTTCTTTTCTCTCATACCTCATGCGTACTCTCCCTCTTTCCCCATCTCACACACTCCCACTCACACTATCTCACACACACTCCCTCTCTCTCCCAATCTCACACTAACACTCACACGCACACACTCCCTCTCTCTCTCCCAATCTCGCACTAACACACACATTCCCTGTCTCTCTCCCCCAAACTCACACTAACACTAACACACACTCTCCCCCTTTCTCCCAAACCCACACTAACACTCTCCCCCTCTCTCTCAAACTCACACTAACACTCTCCCCCTATCTCCCAAACCCACACTAACACCCACACTAACACTCTCCCAAACTCCCACTAACACTCTCCCCCTTTCTCACAAACCCACACTAACACTCTCCCAAACTCACACTAACACTCTCCCCCTCTCTCCCAAACCCACACTAACACTCTCCCAAACCCACACTAACACTCTCCCCCTCTCTCCCAAACCCACACTAACACTCTCACACTAACACTGTCACCCTCTCTCCCAATCTCACACACAGCTCTCCCCCCGACGCGCTCCCTCTCTCTCTCTCTCCCCCCGACGCGCTCCCTCTCTCTCTCTCCCCCCGACGCGCTCCCCCTCTCTCTCTCCCCCCCTGACGCGCCCCCTCTCTCTCTCTCTCCCCCTGACGCGCCCCCTCCCTTTCTCTCTCTCTCCTCTCTTCTCATTTAAATATTAAAATTCGTTACCAATAATTTATTTATTTAATTTTTATGTATTTTCATTCTTTAAAAAAAAAAAAAAAATTTTCTCTATCATTTTTTAAATTTATACAAATATATCTATTATATATTTATTAAAATAAAAAAAAATTTATGTTAAATTATGCATTGTTAATCTTTTTTTTTTCCCCTATTAAATAATTTTATTTGTTTATATATATAAAAAAAAATAAAAGAAATTTAAATTCGATAATACATAAGTATTATTTTATTCTGTCGAAAAAATAAATAAGTAAAAATCATCGATGAAATTGTAACGAAAATAAATAAATAAATAACTTATTAATTTTTTCACAATAAATTTAATTTACTACCTAAAAAAATTTTTTTTTTTTTTATGAGAAGAGAAAATCTCGATTCGAAACGATCATAATGAAAACTTAATCAAACACGAGAGAGAGAGAGAGGGGGCGCGTCAGGGGGGAAAGAAAACAAGAGAGAGAGAGAGAGAGGGAGCGCGTGAGAGAGGGAAAGAAAAAAGTAAGAGAGAGAGAGGGAGCGTGTGAGAGAGGGAAAGAAAAAAAAGAGAGAGAGAGAGGGAGCGTGTGTGAGAGGAGAAGAAAAAAAGAAAGAGAGAGAGGGAGCAAAAGAGAGAAAGACAGGGAAGAAGAAGTAAAACTCCTAATAATTTTCCGATTCGCCTAATAAAAAAAACAAGAAATTTCCATTAAAAACTAAATAAAAAAAAATTTATTATTATTATTTGTAATTAAAATTTATGTTTATATAGAAAAAAAAAAAAAAAAAAAAAAAAAAAAGAAAAAACGTCAAACGTTATGATTTATGAAAGTCAATGGGGGGGAGGGTGTGGGGAGAACGAGAGGGGAAAGAAAAAATGATGCGTGTGTATTCGATATCTCGTGATTAAATTATAATAAATGGCAAAAGTAATAAAATTTGAAATTTTTTTTTTTTTTTTTATAAACCCCTAATAAAAAACAACAACCACATAATTTATTACGTTAACCCATCAAGGTGATTCGGATTTTTATTATTGAAAATTCTAGAAAATTTTATTACTAAATTTAATTACGTTATATATATATGGAGTGGTACGTGTATAAATTTTTCAAAGACAAAAATACGATCGGATAACTATCCCTAAGGAATAAATGCCTGAATATCAGTGGTGATGCTGCTACATGCCTGATACATAAGTTTCATCTTGTTATAACCTATGACATCACAAAAATTTTTGTGAGACTCATTGAGACCATCTTATTCGATGAAAACTAGTTAGGGCTCCAGGGACTGACGTCTGTGGAGTGGCCAGGAACAAGAGGAGTGAGAGTCACAACCTTGTCGAGATGACTCAGGTAAACAATTGAACAAAATTTGTTTTGGTTCTTTCTTCGTTTTGCTCTCGTTAGAATTATAATTTATTTCAAAGAACTATTTCAATACTTAATTTTCCTACTATTCCCCTATTTCATAATTTTCCCTAATGCATTCCATCTTTCGATGTAAGCACAGTAATCAAATTATAATTTTGTACTTATTTATTCTTAAGTAATCTGAAGGCAGTTTAGAATTTTTCTAACCTTAGATGAAACTAAAAAAGAATTTTACACTAAACATATGGCAAAATATGTTATAATGAAACAAACTAACTAAAGTAAAGGGTTAAAGTAATGTACAATCAATGGATTCATACTTTATGTAGGAGTACAAAGATTTTATATTCACCTAATACAATAAATTAATCAATTACAAGTATTTTTTATCGAACTACCTCCATTTTTATATAGTATGACAGGGGTATTAGCTCACCTACTGATAATCGGCTAAAGAAATGCAAAAATTATTAAATGGAGTCAATTGTGCCTGTCTTTTCATAATTCCTTACACTAAAATCAACTAACATAAAGGCTATCTGATTCCTCCTGATTTTGATTAAGATTTATAGAGAGTATTAAACTATTTCTATGGTAAACTATGTTGTAACGAAACAAACTAACTCAAGAAAAGGCCTAAACAACAACCTACAATCAGCAAATTAACCCTTAAAGATTTGAGTATAGAAATTTGTACACCGAGTTAATGTATCAAATCAATTATTGATAAATGTTTTTTATTAAATTACTTCAACACATTGTCTTTTATGATGAGATGAAGAAGAAGATATTTAGTTAAACTGCCTATAATTAACCAAAATCAGTGTATAAAATTTTTAAACTGTATTTTGGGGATTTCCTACATTTGTTTAACGTTTTTTCAAGTGAAATTAAAGTCTTAAAATGAGGTACTTACCCGTAACAATCAAATATACTAAAGCGTCTTCTAAAATTTTTCCTTGACCACTCTTCCTCTTGTCAAATGAAACCGTCGACTATTTAAATTTAAAATAATATAGTAATTACTAAATAATATAAAAAACTAATTATGTCGAAATAAACTAGTCTAAATAATAAAAATTTTGATATATAATTTATAATTAAATTCTTAAAAAAAACTATTAAAATTAATTAAATAAGTCGACGTGATGTGTTAGCATGTGTCAATTGCAGCTCACCAGCGCCATCTTCTTTTTCTTATTATTAATATTTATTTTTCCCTCTAAATGTATGCGCGAGTGTTTGATTTACGACGCGCCAATTAATATTTAATTTACGTTTGTAGTTGTAGTTGTTGTTGTAGTTGTTATTGTTATTGTTGAATGAAAATAAAATGAAAATTCAATGAACCGAATATATATAAAATTAACAAATTCGAATAAAAATAAAAAAAATTTTTTATTAGTAGTTATCCCACCGACGCAACCGCCATTCCCGTTTCTACCGCCACGTCTACTTTACATTTTCAATTCCGTCGGAGGAAATAATACATATATATTTTTTTTTTTCGTAAAAAGAAAATAATAATTGAGAAAAAAATAATTCACTGAGTTTTTTCTCCATGATTTTTTATTTTTTATATTCTGGAATCTGGGAGCATACGTGACCGACGGGAAAAAGTTTTTATTTTACTGGAATTCCCCTCCATCTCTCCCCTTTATATAAAATTTTATATCGAATGATGACGATTAAACGATTACTTCCGGTGATTAATATTTTACCAACATTCCAACCCAAAATTACAATGAACAACCGAAAACCCCACTGACGTCACGTCCATATAATCATCATTATTATTAAATTTTTCCCTTCTTTTGTTCGATTTACTTATAATCTCTTAAACAAATTATGCAAATGGCTCGAACGAAAAAAAAAATTAAAGAAAATCTTTCGGTCACGAAACAATCAAAAAAACAAAAACCGGTTGTTTCAATACGGTAGGTGTTGCGGATTGTGTTTGTACAAAGAACAAAAAAAAAATTTCAATCGTCCGAACAAACGATCAATAAATAAAATCCATTTTTAACTTATATATAACGTTAATTTAATTTTAAGTGTTTGTAACAACCCCCCTAAAGGTAGAAAAAAAAAAACAAACGAACAAACGCTTTGTTTTTTATAAACGGATTATTAATCGGTTGTTGTGTAGTATTCGCGTTTGTACGATACAACAAAACGTGAAAAGAGAAAGACAGAGAGAGACAATAGTTTAAATCATTCGTAAAAAATTTTATCAATCGTTTGTATATGCGTGCGTGAGTGCGTGTGCGTGTCACGGCGTTGATTTTGTTACGACAACAACAACAACAACAACCACATAAGGTAACAATACGTGTGAAAAAAACAAATCCGGTTAAACCAATGAAATTTATTTAAAAACGAATCAATCAAATGTTTTTTTTTTTTTTTTCAATTAATGTCTCCTCCGCGAAACCGATAATTTATTAAATTAGTTTAAATCGATAAATCGAACAAATATATCGTTCGATTCGTTCAAAAAAACAAACGGGTAAACAAACAAACAAACAAACAAACAAACGAAAAAAAGTGTGCGGTAAAAAAAAAAAAAAAACTTTTAGTGAATTTTTTTAAGGTTCCAACAACAACAAAAAAAACGTGAATTTTTTTTTTTTTATCACATTATTATTATTATTATTATTATTATTATTATTATTATTATTATTATTATTATTATTATTATTATTATCCACCATTAAACACGACAAGGCTACTTGTCGGAGTTTTTTAAGTATTTATCCGAGGTTTCTACCCGATTCCTTAGGGACAAATACTCGAATTTCGG